GCAATTGCTCGCAGACCTTCCAAACAAAATTCCAAAATTAGGCGAATATAGCTGGAGATTGCTTTGGACTGTACAAGGAAATAGTTCTCATTAATATGGGAATTAATTTCCATCCAGAACTACTCTAAACACATATGTAAATGAGAAAAATCAGCTGTTTCTTAGACTGCTTTATATTGCTTTATATACATATACGAGTATGTACAAATAAACCATTTAGCTATATAATAATAAACTGTTGTTGTACATCGATATATCGATATATGGATCCCAAAAGAAGGCATTTATTAAACAGCCCGCTCATATGTGTGGACGGCCAACAATGGGAAAGGACTGTTGGAGGAAGCTGGAAGGTCTTCGGGAGGTAGTTGGGAGGTAGAGCACAAAAAGGGGTGCGCTAGCTTTGCAATTTAGCTGACGCTTGTCTATTGTATTAGCGTTAGTTGTTGGCTCGTAAAACAGCAGCAACAGCAGCAGCAGCAACAGCAACAACAAAACAACTTGCTGCTGGCCGTAAAAATATGAAGAAAATGGCACATAAAAAGCCATCAGACTAAGGCTGACTGATGGACCGCCTGATGGACTGACTGGCTGACTGGCTGTCTGAATGACTGACTGAAGCTATTGATGTGGCTGTAAGGAAGAGGTAGCAACAACAAACACGTACCACATTAAATGACCAAACAACAGGCGAACAGCTACAACAACAACAACAAAAGACAGCCTTAAAATTGGCTTGAGCTTCCAGCACACACACACACACACACACATGTACATAGGCACAGACACAGGGAGCGGACAACAATTGCACAGGAACATGGCTTGAACAAAAGCTTGAAATGTGCAACAACAGCAGCAGCAGCAGCAGCAACAACAACAACAACAACAAGAAGAGCTCGCCGGAAATATTGTTGCACAGTCTCCACAGGCAGCCGTCGCCATTTGACTTGAAAACTCATAAATGTTGATGAACAGCAGCGAACTTTGTTAAAGGCGTTGCTTACGCTTTTGTTGTTGCAGTTGTAGTTGCTGTTGTTGTTGTTGTTGTGGTTGTTATTGCTGTTGTTGTGTGTAAGCGGCAGCCATTTGGCCCGAACGGGCAGGCAATACACATTACAAAAAATTCCCTCAACATAAAGAATACCCTTAAGTATGTACATAAGCAGCTTTGAAAGCATTCTCTATTTGAAATTGTAGCAGCGATAGTTTCGCGAAGAGTAATGATTCCTTGAAAAAAAAACTAAGTAACAAAGTACTTGTATATAAATAAATAAACTAAATAAATATTAAGTTAAAGCTTTGAAAGCATTCTCTATTTGAAAATATGGTAGCGATCGTTTCGCAAAGAGTAACAATTCTATTAAAAAACTAAATAAAAAAGTATATAAATAAATAAACTAAATAAATATTAGGTTTATGTCATTAGAAAATAAGGCAGCGAAAGCAATAGTAAGGATTCGACTACAAAACTATTACGTTTATTTATTTAGAATTGATATCTTTGGAATATATTGCGATAGTTTCTCCAAAAATTAAAATACTTAGTTAAAGTGGTTCATAATTTCTTAAACTCAATCACAAATCAAATAATGCTCATTACAAAATGTTGACATTCTGACTTTTTCTTCACTTCTAATTTTCATCCGAAGCTGTAAAAATGTAGTCAGTTAATGCCTGATTAATTGATTTGATTTTTGAGACCCTTGGTTGGTTTATAAGTATATAAATATTTTTGGAATGCACAATTAATTATATGCTCCCGTTTGAGCAGCCACCAAACCATTGGAAGTAGAGTAACGACATTTAAATGGGGGTTTGGAAACAATTCAAACCACAAGTGGGTGAAATAACACAATTTCTTCGCTCGATGAACGACGGCTTATTTATGTATAGTAGCATCTAACTATTTCTGAGCCCGTCTTTAGGGTTAATTCTTTGACGAGTTTTTCTGAGTGTATAGAAAGGCCGTGCAGAAAAACGAAGCGAAAAACAAAAAAATTGAAAAGATGCAACTACAAGATACACAAACGTGCAACGGCAGCCGCATAATGTTTTATGACTTTTGGGTTCTATGAGTGGAAAAACGTTGACAGCTGAGCTTAGACCGAAGCAGCAACGAGGCTACTTTTGACTTTTGACTTCTGACTGTGCAGCACGCCCGCTTGCAACGCCTGTCCGTGCAACAGCAACAACAACTACCAACTACCAACAACCAACAGCTTCTACTACAACTGCCACTTTATGGGCATGAGCAGTGTTTTTTGTTGTTGCTTTCCCCCCCCCCTAGCTGGAGCAGTCAGTCAACGGGAGCCCTCAACAGTTTTTTACGAGCCCTCCTGACCAGCCAACAAAAACATATATGTATACGCATATACATATATCGCCGCCACCTTACCCAACAACAATTTGTTGCATGTAAATGCAATTAGCTGTAAATTCAAAGTGCTGCCCAGATAGCCAGCTGGGCACCTTATCGATTAATTCCGTATATGCCTTGCAGTCAACTATATCAAAATATCATGAATATATACTAAAGTATATAGAGCTATCTTAATCGAGGAGTAGTCTTTAAACAGTTCCCCACATTTTTCAATATTTTAGCCATAATTGGTGGCTTTTATTTCATATATTTCTTAGGTTGAGCACATTTCCAAATAGTTCCCTCTGCTGGCAGATTAACTTTTTATTAGAGATATAATTTGATATTAACAATAATTTCTAGATACCTATTTTTCTACTATGTACGAGCAGATCAGAATATGAAATGCCAGTCTATTATCTGCAACTAAAGACGAAATAATTTCCTATATCGACAAGAAAAATGTGCTGGCAGTTGTAGGGATCTTATTTATATGGGAATCATCTGAGTATTTCCCTAGACAAATGCTTCATACAAGACGGTATATAATCAGCAGCAAAGATGTCTAAAAATAATCAAAATATAGGTAGTTAGACAACAATCAGCGCTCAATCCTATACCCAATATAGTATTCTGCAAGTTGACACAAATTATCTTTTTATTCTTCGTATGGGTCTAGAAATTCAGCATAAAATTGTTTAAAGAAAATACTATAAATACAATTGTCAAGTGAACTCATTTCTGGAGAGCTGGCTGCGATATTTCCATAAACTAAATATTTACTCGCAATTAAATAAGGCTTGAACTGTCGAAATTTTGCTGCTTCCCGGTATTGTTGTTTTTTTTTTTTTGGAGGTTTCTCTTCCTTACCCCATTTCTCTCCACACTCGCCAATCTGTTTGTCTGTTGGTCCAAACTTTTTGACATTAAACAGTCAGCAAAAGTGAAAATTTGACATGACATGAAATGAAATACAACAAAGAAAGTGCGCGGCAAGAACTTGTGCCCCAAAATGCCCAAGTTACCACAACAATAACAACAACAACAAGAACAATGCGCTTTGATAAAAGCACACAAAAAACTTTGACAACTAACAAAAGTTTGCCAACAACAGCAACAGCAACAGCATCGACGAGCTGCCGCTGGCAAAACGCCGCCAGTTTCAGAGATCCACCTGCCCCCAGCCCCCGGGCATTCCCCCTTTAGCGCACGACCATTGCACTCGACTTGACTCCACTCCCCTCCCCACTCCCTCCCCACTCTCTCCACTCCAGTCAAAAGTTGCAAAATGGCGCGCATGAAAGAGACAGCACAAAAGGGCTGCAAATCAGCGATGCCTGAACCTCAAAACACCAACAACACCAGCAACAACAACAACAGCAGCAAGGCTGGAAAAGTGTACGAAAAAATTTGCCAGCAAACAAGGAGCAAGTTCAAAAGTGCAAAACTTTTGAAAACATTCAGCAACCAACCAACGAACTAACGAACGACCAAACGAACGAACGAAGTCGGGCCAAATGTTTTGGCTCAAGTTTTTGGATGTCAACTTGTCATGGTTTTATTTTTCTCAACCCTATGCCGCCCTATTATTTCTCTGGTGGCCGCTGTCCCCACACATATGTATTCGACGTATTACAACTACAAGTATAACAACAAAGACGACAACAAAAACCCGCAGCGTTCAACAATTTTTAAAAAGAAAGGCTGAGTAATGTTTTTCAACTAAAATACAAACGTGGATCCAAAACAGAAATCAATATTCATAGTAATTACAAATAACCCTATATAGAAAATCTAAATACTAATCTAAATTGTTTATTGTTTCTCGTTTATTTTTTGTTTATTAGTTCGTAGTACGACAAGAAAATTTCTCCTAAATTAATGTACTAGTCTTATACTTATGTCTAACACAGGCGTAGCCCAAAAAGAGTGTCAGCGAGTAAGAAGAAGGATCTCAGTAAGAAAATATAATCATGATATGGAGAAAGATTACATTTTTGCTGTGCAGAACTTTTTATCTCTGCCTAAATGCAAATTATAAAATATTAAATTTATAAAAATCTATAAAAAGTACTGCATTTATAAGGCACATAAGGCGCACATATCTTAGTCTTGAAATCTAGAATGTCGTCCTATTTTTTTATTCAATTAATTGGAATTGTCGGGAATAAGATTTTTTCCTAAGGAATATTCATTTATAAGGCCTATTATGATTTCTTATGAAAATGGTTGCAATCTAAAATTTACCGAAATTTTCTTCGAAGCTCGTTGAATAGTTTTAATAACAATAAGTTATCGAAAGTTATTTCTAGTTGACTAAAGGCATAGTCCATGATTCCTTAGATCCTAGCCTTGAAGGCGCTCTGCTTGGTATCATCGATTCAAATAGAAATTGCAAACCAAAAAGCAAATTTCGAGAAACTGAACAAGCCCTGTGCCTCAACTAGTACCTGTATTATTTGTAAGATAATATTCCAAACAATAAAAAGGCCTCTTAATAGTTTCCAATACTCCAATGCAAAACGTTATCTTTAATCTCTCAAACCCAAGCAAGGAGAGATTCAGTTGAATCCTGCAGGGCTCCTTTGCTCCTTGGGCACAAGTCAGGGGAATATGTTCTGGATCTGGACTGGGCACTCACCTATATTGTGCTGATTGTTGTGAAGCACAGCGCCGAACGCCATTAGATCCTTGACCGGTGGTGCTCTGGTACCGAGGGCGGCAAAACCGTCGCCCAGAAATGACGCCAGCGCGACAGCCCTGAGGGGCGCTTTGGATGCTTCGGTAAGAATTTTGTTATCGAATATTTTGAGGCTGTTGTGTGCAAATTTGTTTTCTTTAGCTTTTGGGTCTGGGCGCGTGTCTCACGCACACTCACGCGCGCATACAGGCACGCTGGCACGCACACCCGCACACAGAAACACACAAACACGCACGCACACTCAAGATGCTGCTGCTCTGTGTGTATGGCCGGCGGCAAAATGTTACACACACACACACACACCACGCGCAAACACAAACGCCTACAATTTGCGAACTTTTTTTCCCCAGCTTTTTAGGCCTTTCTTTTTGTTGCGTGCTTTGCGGCGCTGCTTCTTATTAATTTTTATTTATATTATTGTATTGTAATCCTTTTATACTGTTGCTGGTTGCTGGCGACGGCAAAACAACTATTTCTAGTATGTGTGTGTGTGTGTGGGTATTTACACAGCTCTTCTTCTTTGTATTCTTCGACGACGATGATAAATTTCTTTTGGCACTTTAGCTTGACTTTTAGCTTCTTGCTTGCACTTGTGTTTTCAAAAAAAAGAACAATGAAACAATTTTTTTTGTTTGTTTCAGACAAAAAAAAAAAATGGTGATAGATAGCAACAAATAAAACAACAACAATTGTGTTGATTACGCGGCGGCAGCGGCGGCGGCAACAACGTGCGCGCAACAATAACAACAACGAAAACAACACGAGCACAAACAGCTGTTCGCAGGTTTATTTATTTTTTTAATTAATATTATTTAGCGGTAAATATGAATGACGAATTTGCCTTTCTTTTGGCAATTTGTTGTTGGGTCACTAGCGGCAACCTTTTGATTTGCTGTTACGTTTTCTTTGACCAAAAAACACGCGATACTTCGGATTATGGAATTGCACTGGTAACGTCGAAAAAAATGTTGCTTCCTTTTTTGAACAACTGTCCGCAACATGCGAGCGCACAACGCGAACGTCAAACAAAAACTGAAAATGCGACGGCAGCGCGAAGTTGTTGCCAGCGAAAAGCAGCAGCAGCAGCGGCGGCGGCAGCGGCAGCAGCGACGATTGCGGCGATGACAACGACAGCGAAACACGAACAGCAAACGGTAAACCGAACCTTCTTCACGCGACAGCGACACAGACAGCGAGCGCACCGCACGCACACAAATACAAGCTGAGCCTGAGCTCAGAACAACATCAGCATCAGGTAGCGGTCGCGGATGTTGTTGTTGTTGTTATTGTTCCAATAGTTGTTACTGTGTGCATGTGTGTGTTGGTGTATTCGTGGCCACTGCCTACCCTGACAACCAGCTCACGAATCGCATGCGCGCTCACTTACACACAGACACACACTCGCATACTCTCACACTCGCTCTCTCGCTCAATGGCAAACAAATAAGAAATTTCCCCAGCTTTCTGGTCATTTGCTATTGCTATGCACGCCATTGGCCTTACATTGGTGCGACAGAGACAACTGGCTGGTGTACATATGGCGACTGGGCAAAAATCGCAATGGAGTCTGTTGCTGACATTTGTCGCAGTCATCGTGTCGCTGCCGTTCAAACTGGTTGCTGTTGTTGCCGTTGCCGTCGCCGCCGCCGTCACTTGCTTCTCTATTGCCGATTGCCTTTGCCTGCTGCTCTGAGCTTTATGCTGCTGCTGTTGCATGCGACAGTTGCCACTGTGCGCTCTGTGCACTGCTTACGAGTGTTGCCCAACCAATTCCATGGCTCAAAAAGGCTAAATTTGGGGAAAGAGCGAATAAAGCCAAATTTTCTCCTGCAAACATACATACTATATATGCGATCCTTAATATTTAAGAATTTTTTAGATATTTTCAGGAATACTATTCAACAAAGTTTAATGCATTAATTTGTGTATTATTATTGTTTTATTTCAATAATATAAATATAATAATAATAATATAAATAATATAATATAATATATAATAATCTAAAAACTTTGTGCATTTGTTGAAAAATATAATCGACTTTTATCAAGTAGGATAATTACAGAGCTATTGAGTTATTTTTATGCTTGTTAGGAAGGCTTTCATTTCGTGAAAGCTAAGATACGAGTATACGAAAATGGTTTATTTTTTAATCGAATTCTGAAACGCGACATGAACTGAGTATTAAATAAGAGCATACACGTTACGTTATTTTTGCAGCTTAAAAATCCGCCTAATCATACTTCAGTTCATACTTTTCAGTTAACTTTAAATTAAATTGTACTGTTCTGTTCTTTTTAGCTCTGCTGAATAAATATATTATTTTTTACTGAGGCCCATCAGAGTTCAAAACTTTGAAAATGTTGAGATCTGACGGGAAAATGCAGCCAAGCCGTTAACACTCCATCACTGAATGTGCTGAGCTGTTGCTGTTGTTGTTGCTGTTGTTGGAGCTGCTGCTTCACATACTTTTGTGGTTAGAGGGGGCGTTGCTAAGCAACTGGTTTCTGGCGTTCGCATGTTGTTGTCGTTGTCCAATGTGTCGTCGCTGTCTGTGTGTGCGCATCTCTCTGCATTTGTATGACGCCTCTCTGTGTACGTGTGCATGTGCGTGTGTGTGTTTGTCTGTGTTGGTGTTGGGCGCATTGCTGTAGGGGGGAGTTTGTCGAACCAATGGCATTTTTCAAAGTGACATTTTTGCGCTTTTGCTTTTGCTCTTCTTGTTACAGTCACGTTTCTCGTGCGTGAGTGTGCGTACACATCTATACATGTATGTGCCTGAATGTGATGTATGTGTGTGTGTGTGTGTGTGTGTTGCGTTGAGTTGTTGCCTTGCCAAGGTAAAATGTCAAATGCTTTGCCATCTGTCCATTTGTCTGGCTCTCTGTCAACTGTTGGTTCTCCTGTTTGTACAACTTTTTGTTTTTTTTCCTTTCTTTCTTTCGCTTTTGTGCAAACTTTTGCCAGCCTTTTTTTAAAGCATTTGCTGTGCCTACGTTTTAAGCAAAAGCCTAGAAATATCAACAACAACCACAACCAGAGCATCAACAGCAGCAGCTAAAGCAGAAACGCAGATTCTCGTCTTTGCTGTCGTTAGCATTGTCAAAGGCCAGGCAGCTAGGCAGCCAGGCAGTTGAACAAAAAAAATAAAAATAAAAAAATAGTAAGAGCAAAAAATTCAACGCCCCTTTGGCGTTTTAACGCATTGGAGCAAACCAAAAAAATATATACACACACACACATACATACATTGAGAGAAAAAAAAGCCGTTGTCGCCGAAGCTGCCTGTCTGTGGCCGTGTGTGTGTGTGTGTACATTTTATATTCCAGCAGCGTTCGCATTTCGCATTCAACGGACATGGTAATAAGCCAAAGATCAAGCGCAATAAAAAATACGCAAAAAAAAAACAAATGTGTGGAAGCAACAGCAACAAAAATGCGAAACTCAAAAAAAGGGGAATAAGCTGAGGCTCCGCTGTTGTTGCTATTGTTGTCATTGTTGTAGCCTGCTACATGTCAGCCACACACACACACACACTAACGCACAGACCAGAGCGCCAAAGAGCGAGCGAATGAGAGCGAGAGAGAGAGAAGGAAAGAGTGGATGGGTGGTTGGGGGGTTGGGCGCGGGTGCCTGCGCTTTTACATGACAATAACAATAAAATGACGATGACGCCGACGTTCTCAGTCAACGAGGCTATATATATATACATATACATTTATAAATGTGTGTGTGTGTGTGTGAGCGCCATTGTCGTGTGTAGCAGGATCCGAGGCTGCCAGGATGTTGGCCTGCTCAGAGTCAAACAGAAAGGCAGACGTCAGGCAGGCAGCCAGGCAGGCGTGTTTTCTGCTGATGCTTTCTGAATGACTGGCAACTGGCTGACAGCGCTCGCTGTTGCTGTCGCAGTCGCCGTCGCGAACCTGACGCTGACGCTGAAGCAGAAGCAGAAGCTGACGTTGGCGCTAGGCAATGGCAACGGCAACGGTAACGGTAACGCACCGCGCCGCGCCACGCCGCGCCTTCGCACACACATTCGCATTCGACAGCGAGCATGACAACAAACCGAGCAAGGACTACGCTTAACCCTTTGTTATGGCCAATACTCTAATAAAACACACAATCATTATAGCCCACACCCAAAGGGTAATAGAGCATACTGGATTACTTCAAATGTATGTTACACCCAAAAGAGGGCGTGACAGGCACCAACAAGTATTTTATTTTATAAATACATACTTGTACGAGTATGTACACATATTCGATGCAGTCAGCCGCCCCTCTCCTTCCTTCCGTCAGTCCGTCCGTCCGTCTAACTATATGAACTCAACGATCTTGGAGCGTATTAAGACCAGAATCTAACCAGACTTGTCAAACAGCTCTATACATCTTTTTGATGCTGCATCCAAATTTAAAGCTATTTGCTTTAATTGATTCCTCCAAAATATATGGTTTTTTAAGGACTACTTTCTAAATCTTAATCGGATGGACAAAGTAGAATTTGAAACAAAATGTGCCTGGGGCATATTCCACAGGCGCACTAGTACCAGAATGATAAATCAACTTCCAAACAATAATTTTGAACAGCTATCGAGTTATTTTCACGAAAAATGGATATATATGTACATAGATGAGAATTTTTAATAACTTTTCTGTGATGTTATTTTATTTTTTGAAATATTTTTATTTTCTACAAGTACTGTCATCGGTAAATAAATTAACTCGATATTTCAAGTTTAGCTTAAAGTCATCAAAGTATAGCTTTCTCACTGTTTGTATGTAGATTTTACATCACATAAAGAAATTGCTATATAATTTTCCGATTTTTTTTACCGATTTTTTTTCAGTCCTGTTCCCATTTCTGATTTCCAATCAATTGCTTTTGTTTTTCAAGAAACTTTCTCGACACAATTCCACTGTTCGCAGGCATTTTTGTTCGCCCATAAGAACTGAATATGAAATCAAAAAACTCACTCAGTAAAATCGATTAACTCGAAATTGTAAAATACTTCTTCTTAGTTAAAATCAAAAAATCTTTTAAATTAAAATCACATTGGAAATCTTGACATATAAAAAAGGCCGGAAAAGTTTGCTGGACATATACTACTAATGAGCTAATAATATTAAAATGGATAATGAATAATTTTAAAAATATTATTTTTATATAGCTTGAATTTGAATTGTGAATCGATAAAAGCGGAGAAGCAAGCCATCAAAACTGTGTGATCTCT